GGAATTCATACTAATTGGCTGTTTACTAAAGTTGACGCCATTAAACAGTTATTAAATATGCATTATTATAATTTTTTATTGTTTACACAAACTATTTCATGAATAATTTAACAAACGTTTTTAAAATCACGCGACTCCTGCGAAGTCTACGATTGGTCAGCAACAGCGCAGATATTTCAGAGACGATTTGAAAATTTGCTGTGATGAAAATTTCATGAAGAAATCAGAGACTTATTAGTCGGTGAGTCCTTATTTCAGCTGTAGATTTCATGATATTCTAGGTATTTGTATCGTATATTTCTGGTTTGTTTTGATTCAAGATGGCAGTGCTACACATGAAGTAAATGCACTTAAACATAATCTCTTTGTTTAACATTATGTATCACAAGACTTTTGTAAAAAAAAAAAGAAGTGTTTCAGAGTCTTTTCTTAAAATATAAAGATATGAAATGTGTCAATATCTGGGAACAGTTACTTTCAGTAGCCTCTGCATGAGCATGACGATAATAACAATGAAATCCAAATGAACTGTGTGAGATAAAATTATTGTAATAGGGTCTTTGAAATATAAGATAAAGATCTTCTTTGTTTAAAAAAAAGAGGGGTCAAATTTTTTTAATGAATAAAGCAAAATTTACAGCCTTTATCCAGCATAATAAAACAATAAATTTATATTTATATAAGTTGTGCATAAATTTCTGATCATCTAATCCCCAAGCTCTCCACATGTTCCATACCGGGGGAGGGGGGGGGGGTAATTTTTCAGCAATTCAAGGATGGTGTGTGCATGTGTGTTTGTCAATATTAATTATTAATGCCAGATAATTTCATGAACAAACATATCCTTTTTTCAACTGAATACTTAATTGTCTCCTCTTGTCATTTATATTCCAAACTGGAGGGAAATGCATTAAAACTATAACTTTATCAGTAAGTATAAAATCTAATCTGATTTTTGTAAAAAAATGGGTAAATGTATAAGAACATAACAAGGTACTGCTCATCAAACACTTTCATAAAGCAAACTTTATCCTTAATACTTAAGACAAGAGGCCCATGGGCCACATCGCTCACCTGAGCACACTGGCTAGAAAAAAAGCACCAATCACTTCAGTATTGAAATGTTTAAAAAGGGGGGGGGGGGGTGGATTTTGAACTACCTGAGGATGCTTCTTCCATATCAATATAACAAATGGCTTTGCTGTTCTTGAGAAGAAGATTTTAAAAGATTTTTTTCTATATATTCCCTTGTTAAAAATTTGATCCCCCATTGTGGACCCTCCCTATCATTTGAACAAACTTGAATCTACACTACCTGAGGATGCTTCCATATCAATATAACTAAACATGGCTTTGCTGTTGTTGAAAAGATTTTTTCTTATATATTCCTATGTAAAATTTTGATCATTGTGGCCCCACCCTACCCCTGGGGGTTATGATTTGAACAAACTTGAATCTACACTACCTGAAAATGCTTCCATATCAATATGACAAAACATGGCTTTGCTGTTCTTGAGAAGATTTTTCAATTTTTTTCTATTCATATTCTTTTGTAAATCTATGATCCCCAATTGTGGCCCACCCTACCCCCAGTGGGGTCATGATTTGAACAAACTTGAATCTACACTACCTAAGGATGCTTTCATATCAGTTTGACAAAACATGGCTTTGCTGTTCTTGAGAAGATTTTTGAAGTTTTTTCCTATATATTCCTATGTAAAACTTTGATCACCCATTGTGGCCACACACTAACCCCAGGGGTCATGATTTGTACAAACTTGAATCTACACTACCTGAGGATGATTCTCTATCAAAATAACTAATTGTGGCTTTGTTGTTTTTGAGGAAAACAATTTCAAGATTTTTCCTACATATTTCTATGTAAAACTTTGATCCCACATTGTGGCCCCACCCTACCCCAAGGGGTCATGAATTGAACAAACTTGAATTTTGCACTACCTGAGGATGATTCCATATCAATATGATTCATTGTGGCTTTGTTGTTCTTGAGAAGAAGATTTTTCAAGATTTTATTCTATATATTTCTATGTAAAACTTTGATTCCCCATTGTGGCCCCACCATACCCCTGGGGGGTCATGATTTTAACAAATTTGAATCTACACTACCTAAGGATGATTCCATATCAATATGACTAATCATGGCTTAGTTGATCTTGAGGAGAAGATTTTTAAAGATTTGTTCCTATATACTCCTATGTAAAACTTTGATCCCCCATTGTGGCCCCACCCTACCCCAGGGGGTCATGATTTGAACAAAATTGAATCTACACTATGTAATGAAGATCTCACATACGTTTCAACTTTTACAGCCCAGTGGTTCTTGAGAAGAAGATTTTTAAAAGATACCACCAAATTTTCACTAATTCTTAATTATCTCCCCTTGAAAGAGGGCGTGGTCCTTCATATGAACAAACTTGAATCCCCTTTACCAAAGGATGCTTTGTGGCAAGTTTGGTTGAAATTGGCCCAGTGGTTCTGGAGAAGAAGTCGAAAATGTGAAAAGTTTACAGACGGACAGACAGACAGACATACAGACCGACATCGGACAAAATGTGATCAGAAAAGCTCACTTGAGCCTTCAGCTCAGGTGAGCTAAAAAGTAAAATTTTTGTTGTGTATTAATGAAATATATTCAAACTTTAATCCAGAAAATTCAGAGTAGAAATGTTAACAAGAGGCCCAAGGGCCACATCGCTCACCTGAGCACTGTGGCTAGGAAAAAAGGAAAAATCAGTTTAGTATTGAAAAGCTTGAATGATAAGTGGTCTCAACCTACTCCTAAAAAGGGAGTGGGGGGGGGGGGGTCATGATTTGAACAAACTTGAATCTACACTATCTGAGGATGCTTCCACATAAATATGACAAACCATGGCTTTGCTGTTGTTTAGATTTTTAAAGATTTTTCCTATATATTCCTATGTAAAACTTTGATCGTCCAACGTGGCCCCACCCTATCCCCGGGGGTCATGATTTGAACAAACTTGAATCTACACCACCTGAGGATGCTTCCACATAAATATGACCAATCATAGCTTTGCTGTTCTTGAGAAGAAGATTTTTGAAGATTTTTCCTATATATTCCTATGTAAAACTTTGATTGTCCATTGTGGCCCCATCCTACCCCCGGGGGTCATGATTTGTACAAACTTGAATCTACACCACCTGAGGATGCTTCCACATAAATATGACCAATCATAGCTTTGCTGTTCTTGAGAAGATTTTTAAAGATTTTTCCTATATATTCCTATGTAAAACTTTGATCGTCCAATGTGGCCCCACCCTACCCCCCGGGGTCATGATTTGTACAAACTTGAATCTACATCACCTGAGGATGCTTCCAAATAAATATGACCAATCATAGCTTTGCTGTTCTTGAGAAGATGATTTTTGAAGATTTTTTCCTATGTACACCTATGTTAAACATTGATCGTCCATTTTGGCCCCACCCTACCCCTGGGGGTCATGATTTGAACAAACTTGAATCTACACCACCTGAGGATGCTTCCACATAAATATGACCAATCATAGCTTTGCTGTTCTTGAGAAGAAGATTTTTGAAGATTTTTCCTATATATTCCTATGTAAAACTTTGATTGTCCATTGTGGCCCCATCCTACCCCCGGGGGTCATGATTTGAACAAACTTGAATCTACACCACCTGAGGATGCTTCCATATAAATATGACCAATCATAACTTTGCTGTTCTTGAGAAGAAGATTTTTGAAGATTTTTCCTATATATTCCTATGTAAAACTTTGATCGTCCAATGTGGCCCCACCCTATCCCCGGGGGTCATGATTTGTACAAACTTGAATCTACACCACCTGAGGATGCTTCCAAATAAATATGACCAATCATAGCTTCGCTGTTCTTGAGAAGAAGATTTTTGAAGATTTTTCCTATATATTCCTATGTAAAACTCTGATCGTCCATTGTGGCCCCACCCTATCCCCGGGGGTCATGATTTTAAAAAACTTGAATCTACACTACCTGACAATAGTTCCACATGAGTTTCATCTTTCCTGGCCCACTGGTTCTTGAGAAGAAGATTTTTCAATAATGCCATTAATTTTTTGCTATTTCGTAATTATCTCCCCTTGGAGGAGGGCCTGGCCCTTCATTTGAACAAACTTGAAACCCCTTCACCCAAGGATACTTTGTGCCAAGTTTGATTGAAATTGGCCCAGTAGCTCTGGAGAAGAAGATGAAAATGTGAAAAGTTTACTACAACAACGACGCCGCCGACGCCGACGACAGACAACGGACAAATTTTGATCAGAAAAGCTCACTTGAGCCTTCGGCTCAGGTGAGCTAAAAAGCAAAACCAACTCGCCAGTATTGTCAGTCCATGCTCAGTGATGTGTGCAGAGTTTAGCAAATTGAACACACCCGGTGAAACGTAAACATTAACATCATTACAGAACTCGATCCCTGTTTATAAAAACAGCTGCTTTCTCACATTTCTACTCTTTATTTTCTGGATTATAGTTTAATATTTTTCATTAAATGCACAACAAAATTTCTACTTTTCTTAAATATTAAGGATAAAGTTTACTTTGTGAAAGTGCATAAATGTGTCCATCAAACACGTCCTGAAGGGGAGACATATACCATGAAGTTTGGGTGTTCCAATGCCTAGTGTGTATAGGAATTTCTAAAAAAACGATAAAAAAGGTTTCGTCCAATCTTCCCAATTTGCCCTATCTAAGGATTTCTTTTCAACATTTGGGCTAAAACCTAAACAAAGTATCAACATATAGTCTGTATATTATGGTCAGTAAAAGACAGTGATTTTTGTTGTCTAATTCTACAATGCCTGAGAACATTTGTCTTGGAGAAATATGATAGGTAGCCTAGCTATGTTGAAAATGAGCTAGATAAACACAAAATATACAACTTTATATAATACAATTTTCTTGAAGTGCAAAAGACATATTTCTTTAGCATTTAGAGCTTCCTTAAGCTAATTCAAATATTACCAATACGGTTGACATCCACCAGAGGCTGCTTTATCCACTGAGCCAGGAGACGCTGTCCCTGCAAGGTTCTACATCGGTTCATTAAGCCTAGAACACTCTGACTCTTGTTACCTGTCATGAATATAATTTATACACAATTTATACACAACATAACTAGAATTATATACTGAAAGGAAAAAGAAACGCAGGGTAACATAATATGCAAAAATTTGTTGACTTAGTGACCGAAAATTATGAAAATTGGTCAGAGGTATATCTTGGTTACAGTGCATTAAAATCAGTGTTCAAAATTACTCAACCGTGAAATGTATGACTTCAGGTAGGAAAAGTGGTAAAAAGCCAAAAACACGTGCATATTTATGATGTCATGTTTGTTAACAGATTTTTTAGTACTACTTGATGCACTAGAGGTATACACATCGTTTTTCACTATTTACAGTTGATATGTACTTCTTGTAGCATCCACAAGTCAAATTTTATATATAATATTTACCACTTGTATTATATATCAAAATATATACATTTGTGATATCTCTATTAATATAAACATGCAGAGAGCAAATATCTTCATACCTGTATGAAGTTTTTCGAAGGTCATAGGTCATTACGTGATCTAATCACACAGCGCAGTAATATCTACATCAAAAGACTTACTTAGCAATATAGCCTAGCATGTTTTTCATGCATAAAAATGTACAAAATACGCAAGTAAAATAATAATCATTTTATTTACAATGTAAACGAGTATTTAATACAGTTCTTGGTCGATTTTACATACAGAATAGAAAACTACGTGTTAGGCCTATAAGTTTCATGTCTGAGCTGCATAGTCTCAACGTTTACCCTGGCTTATTTTTCTCGCAGACCTCTGAATGCTATAATTTTTTTTCATTAAACTTTACTCACAATAAATTTGAAAATCTGTTGAAAAACATCAATGTAATGCAATCACGCCACAAACAGCTGAAAAACACTGCACTTTGGAAGTTCGGTAGGCACACCTCCATCATCGAGATCGTTGTCTTAACAATGTAAGCTGTCGCCAGTGTCTCCATGTCAACATCATAAATTAATAAATATGCCTGAATGAAATCGTAGATTTTATGTTTTTGATCAAATTCTGTACTTGAGTTCAAGTTATCTGGTCCGGACAAGTGTCTCCATCCATCCCTTTCCGACCGAAATTCCTCCAACTTTTTATTATCAAACATCGGACGTGTTTCTTGTGTTTTTTAAACATCGAATATGGGTTCTCATGAATACAAAAATTCCCACACACCAATATGCTCACTATAATTGATCACAAGTAGCCTTTCACAGAATATTCCCTTCAAAACAGAATCCTTTGCCAGATGAATTTGAAGCGTAACCGCTTTTCAAGCCGATTTACACCTAGCGTAATTTGTCAAAATCTACGACGTACAGTTAGTGCAATATTTATATGTACGTGATCAAATCTTCTGAGAAGGCCTTCGGCCTTCACAGGATTTGATCACGTGACCGACCCACTTCAATTCCCATTGAAGTTTTTAAACTTGTTTTTTATTTCTTAATTAAAGCTTATTAAAAATCATTTAAGAAAAATATCATTTTGAGATTTTCTGGTCAAGCATTGTTACTAAAAATAGATTGCGAAATGTAACGGTATTGTTCTTGTGTGTGACCACTTTTCTGAAGTAAATATTGTGTATCATTGAGGTCAAAACGTAAGTTAAGATAATAAAAATATAATCTCTCTCTTCTTTTTTCCTTTTACCCAGAGTCATAATTATTAAAGTTTAATTGCATCAAACACCTAGATTGGCCTGAATCATTAGATATTGAGAGTCTACTTCCTGTATAATTAATTGGGTCATACGATAGAAATGCAACGTTACGTCAACGTTATGCTTATAAAAAGACGTCAACAAATCATATCAATAAAAATGATCGCAAATTAATTTAAAACCAGTAAAAATACTAAATTATATCAATTGTTGAGGATTATACCATATCATAGCAATTGAAAACCTACAAAAAAGCATCATTTACTAGATTATATCTTAGTGTCATATTTTATAATTTTTATGATGACTTTATAATTTATTTTTTGTTGAAATGAGCTGCAAAACGATGGTTAATATCAAACAAATTGAAAATTAAAAAAAATTACAACAATTGCAAGGTTTATAATGTACATTTTTTTGGTTTTATTTTGTTTTGTTTTAAAACGTTTAAATATTAAACAAACATATAAAACAATTATATTTTTTTCTATATCAGAAACAAATACATGTAATTTAATATGACCTAGACCAAATATCAACTTTGCTTAGTAGTATATAAATGTTCATAACTACCTAAATGATTTCATCATAAATATTTTTTTTTTTTTTTACAATTTAGTTGTCTAATTTAAAATTTGCTTTGACTTCCTTAGTTTCTCCAAGAAAATTAACAGAAAAATTTTACTGACTTCAGAACTGTTAATAAATTTGTAGGAGAGTGTGTATCTTTAACTACCATCTCTTTTCTTGGTAAAGAAACGGGGGGGGGGGGGGGGGGGGGGGGGGGGGGGGGGGGCAAGTTATATGACTGCATAATGAATTAATGATAGATGAAAAATCAATACTATAGTAAATTCATTTTCAAAACATTCACTTTTTATTAAATTTATTTAACCACTTGCATACATAATTGTATGCAAATTGAAAATACCTGAATACTGTAACAGCCAAAAAATAATCTATTTTGATTAATACACCAAAATGGCAACACACTCAATTCCCTGTTAACACTGGGTTGCTACAGGGGGAAGTGCTATCTCCAATACTATTCAATATGTATGTTAACGACTTGGAAAATCAGTTCATAAATGATAAATGCCCATCCGTAGAATTAAGGGAACTAAATCTTTTTGTTTTGATGTTCGCAGATGACACCGTAATATTCGCTCACTCACCAGAGGAATTACAGAATATGCTTGACGCTTTACATGGATATGAAACCTCGTGGAATTTGACTGTTTACACCGCAAAAACCAAAATTTTAGTATTCAGGAAAGGAGGATGCATTTATTTTTCATGGACTTATAATAATGAAATTTTGGGAATCATCAACTCTTTTAATTATTACCTAGGATCATGTTTAAACTTTAACGGTAAATTCAATGTTACGCAAAAGAAATTATCTGAACAAGGTCAGAAAGCTCTATTCGGTTTACACTGAAATATTCAGAATTTGAATTCAAAGCCGAAACCTGGTGTCAACTCTTTGAGACATATGTTGGAAGTGTTCTTTTGTATGGAAGCTGGGGTTTTCATAAATCTCTGGAAATTAAAAGACTGCATTTATCCTTTTGTAAAATTACCCTTAGTGTTAGACACAATACATGCAATTAAAGGATTTATAGAGAATTGGAGCTATATCCACTAATTATACAAAGGAAAGTAGAAATCATGAAATTCTGGTGTAAATTATTAAAAACAGAAAACTAAATTTTAAAATCTTCATACGAATACCTGCGATATGATGCAGAGAATGGGTCAGGAATGAGTATTAACTGGGCACGTGATGTAAAACTTGAACTATTTAGATTGGGTCTGGGAGAATTATATTCTGAATAAATTAAATAATAAATAAATAATTAAAACAAGACGTGTTTGTGAAACACTGATGGCCAAGTTTAAAGTTTTTAAAAAGTAGGTCAAACTTTAAGGTCAAGGTCAAAGGGTCAAAGTTGTTGGTATACAAAAGAAGGTCTTGTCACAAAGATTACATTTGTGAAGTATGAAAGCCCTAGCCCTAACCGTTCAAAAGTTATGGCCAAGGTTAAAGTTTTTTAAAAGAAGGCCAAACTCCAACATCAAGGTCAAAGGGTCAAAGTTCTTTGTGCCAATGGAAGGTCTTGTCACAACAATTGCATATGTGAAGTATGAAAGCCCTAGCTCTAACTGTTAAAAAGTTATGACCAAGGTTAAAGTTTTTAAAAGTAGGTCAAACTCCTAGGTCAAGGTCAAAGGGTCAACATTGTTGGTATTCAATGGAAGGTCTAGGCACAAGGATTACATACGTAAAGTATGAAAACCCTAGCATCAACTGTTCAAAAGTTATGGTCAAGGTCAAAAGGTCAAATTTGATGGTACCCAAAGAAAGGTCTTGTCACAAGAAATATGCATGTGAAATATGAAAGCCATAGCCTCAATCAATCAAAAGTTATGGGCAAGGTTAAAGTTTTTGCGGACAAACAGACAGACAGACAGACGGACAGGGCAAGAACTATATACCCCCGAATCTTCGATTACGGGGGCATAAAAAGTTCTGTTTGAACATTTAATCCAAAACTTTCGGAATACTAGTCATAAATATGACTTATGCAGCAGCATATAATAAACTCTGGAAGAAAAAAAAAAGAAGACAAAATTTTAATTTAAAATTAATTTGAATGACATTTACTAGTAGTGAAAAAAATAATACATGTATAGATCTTTTAATGTGTATTAAAGGTTGTCTAAATAGTCTGTGAATTATTAAATCTCTATCTCCTTTTCTCTTTCTCTTCTTCTCTCCCTCCTTTTCTCTATCCCTCTCCCTTTCTCTTTTGCTCTCTCTCTCTCAATCGTGTAAAACATTTGATTTTGCTTTCGCGAAAGCAACATTACATCTCATTCGTCTGTCCGCCCGTCAGTCTGTCCGTCTGTCACAAATACTTTAACCTTGGTCATATCTTTTGAATGAGAAGAGATAGGACTTTCATATTACACAGGTGTATTTCCTGTGAGAAGACCTTTCTAAATACATTATGATTGTTGACCTCGTGATCTTGACCTTGAGGTTTGACCTACCTTTCAAAAACTTTAACCCTGGTCATAACTTTTGAATGAGAAAAGATTGGGCTTTCACATTTCACATGTTTATTACCTGTGACAAGACCTTTCTAAATACACTATGATTTTTAACCCTGTGACCTTGAACCTTGAGGTTTGACCTACTTTTCAAAAATGTTATTTTTTCCTTATAACTTTTGACTGAGAAGAGATAGGGCTTTCATATTTGACGTGTGCATTACCTGTGACAAAATATTTCGAAGCATGGTAAGATTTCTAACCCCTTGACCTTTACCTTCAT